AACTGAGACGTTACCAAGCTTTAACTAAATAATTTCTTATTGAAAGGTACGGAAGGAGTCACTAGTGGTAATTACGTCACGCCCACGTCATACTATTAGTATATAAGAAGAGCGCGTTGGATTGTGGGAAAATCGATGTTTATTAACACAAATGTCATACATGCGCGCCTTTAAAATAGACACATTTTTGTGATTATTTCAAATTTTGGACAGTTGATGTCGTTGTTTGAAAAAGTCGTAAAAGTGTGTGCGGCTAATATCATCAAAATCAATCGGTAACTATTTTTTAGGGCTAAGGTCCACTCGGCGCAAAGTCACAACTGAAACTGAAACGAGAGGTTTCTATTAAAATGGCGTCATTGCGCGATGTGCTCGTTGGTTGGCTGGTTCAGTTCAACTGCCATTGTTTTTTTTTTAATATTTATAAAGATGAATTAAATATCTTTGTTGCTCATTGAGTCTATTAACTTCAACTTTATGTAAATATACATATATATTTGTATATATATTTGTCTCATTCGTTTGCAGGACGGCACAATAAGATCATATATATACACTCCATTCCTCCATAAAAATCGAGCTGCTGGCATGCTCCCCTCTCACGATATGTACAACCACGGAGAATTGAAAGATCGTTTGAAATCTCACGCCATCGTCTGCTCTAACCTGGGTGTGCAGAAAGCCAAGCAACACGAAGATGAGGAAAACGAAAAAATGTTCTTCATTGGCAAGGAGATCGAGAAATCCCGCAAGAAAGTGTTCTTTAAAGACTCTGAGCAGCGTTTTGCTGCTGTCGAGAAAAAGGGTGAGACGCACGTGTTTGAAAGCATTCGTGTTGCTAAGCGACGGAAGAAACCATTGTCAGATAAAGAATTGTTCGAGCAAATGGGAGACGAGATTACGCATTCACAAGACGATGTCTCTTCAACGAATCCGAGTGAAAAACGAGTCACCATGGAGATTACAAAACCAGAGCACACAGCCATCTCTATTGAACACAACCCAAAGACCGAACAGGATCATACTGTAGTTCCGATTGACGAGTGATCGTAACTATGTGGAATTCGCTATTAGTTCAATGCGGCGGCCTTTGCTGACAAGCCTCACTTTTGCGTCGCGTACGTATCCTACCGTTGCAGGGAACCTCAGCGCTCGGCTTGAATGTTCGCTACATTCTCGGTAAGGGGTTTCGATTAAGGCCAGAGAAAAACGTTTGTTGTATTTTTTCGGGGGGTCATGCCCCCAAACAATGAAATTATTATTAGTAGTATTTTTAGTTGCTCATTAGGCTCATTAAATGTGGCACTGTAAATGTGGATAATATTGTTTAACTATTTAGTGTTTTTAACTGGTGCAATATAATTCCTGTTATTGTTTATATTGTCTCTTTGAAAAAGTTAAAGTAAAAAATAGTTACTTGTGCAAACAGTCTCCGGGTATTAAGGTCTCATGCCACTCATCGCCATTCGTATTTTTAAATGCCTTGCAAGAACCAATGATATTTTTTTCTCAGATGCGCCCTGTCCGAGGGCCAGCATCATCTGGGTCAAGGGTCAGCCTAACACGTGGTCTTTTGTTTACTACTTAGCGGCTGTGTACTTCTGGGTTTATTCTGTGTGTATTTGGATGTTCTAATTTTGGTGTTTCCTGTGATTTTTCTAGGTGCAATCCAAATACAGTAGGTGTGTCTTGTTTACCTGAGTTTTGCAAAAGTTTCGAGTTGAGCTGGTCAACATTTTTTTTTCATGTGGTTGATTACTAGCATGTTGATTTTTCATTTTAGAGCCATGTTTTCAACTTTGATCATCATTCATAACACGGAGTTCCAATTAGTGGTATGAGCTCTTTAACGAAAGACGCGTTAGTGATGTATGTGTAGTTGTATTAACACTGTTGTTTAATATGACAGGGCATGCCTCGGCATAAAAGAGGAATCATCACAAAATCTCTCTGAGTGACTATCTGAATGACATATTGCTAACGTTACATAGTTACGTTCTGAACGCAATGCAATTTGTTTTACCTTTTTCGAAGACCGCCACTGCCACCACAACCACCACCATCAATACTTCTACTATCACCATAACAACAAGCTATATCCGCACTGTAACCACCACAAAGCATACCCCTACCACCATTACAGCAGCTAAAACACAATGACATATATTTACATACATAATATAATATTAAATGGAATTTATCATTTCTTTAACTTAAAAAAACTAGCTAGGATGTCGACGGGTAATCCATATATGGTATCATTTACAACAATTTATAGACACATTAAACATAACAATATTATAAAACAAAATATTACTATTTATTACAAATACTTGATTGTGTGTTACTTATTACTTTCATTTACAATGATTTTTTACATTAAATTGTTTTGATTTAAATGTAATGTTGCTTTTAAATATTCAATGAAAACGTACATATATACGAAGGAAAAAGTTTCTGTGATGTCACATTCATGTGAGTAAATGTTCGTCGTTAATATTATTTTGATTTATCGGGGGCAACCATGTTTTAGAAAGAATTGAGACTCTCTGTCGCAGAGGGCGTTACTTACCAGAAAGGTGTTTTGTAACCGTTCATATACATATTCTCAGAGCCTCGCATGTACAGAGATACCTGTTTCAGTTTTTTTTTTTTTTAGGCTAGAAGCGACAAACTACTGCTGTATATTTATCTTCTTAATCAAAGTAGTACATAATGCATTTTAATAGAAGGGGCATGTTCTCAGAGTATTATGAGGTTATTACGAGGATACTACAAAGTATGCACGAAGACGGTACAGTGGGAGTATCGACCGCCTCGCAGCGGAGGTGGATGCTACCACGTATATATATATATATATATATAAATATATATATATATATATATATATATATATATATATATATATATATATATATATATATATATATATATATATATATATAGTTAATTGTGCAAACAGTCTCAGGGTCTTTAGGTATCATTCAACTAATCACCATTTTTAAATGCCTTGCAAGAACCAATGACATTTTTTAAATATTTTTTTCCCCAGGTGCACCCTATCTGAGGGCGTGCATCACCTGGGTCAAGGGTGAGCCTTACTTGTGGTCTTTTGTTTACTACTTAGCGGCTGTGTACTTGTGAGTTTATTCTGTGTGTATTTGGATGTTCTAATCTTGGTGTTTTCCAGTGATTACTCTAGGTGGAATCCAAATACAGTAGGTCTGTCTTGTTTATCTGAGTTTTGCAAAAGTTTGAGCTGGCCAACATGTGCGTTTTTTTATGTGATTGATTACTGGCATGTTGATTTCCCATTTGTGAGCCATTTGTTTGTCATTTTCATAAAGTAATCTCTTCATATGTTAACAATACAGCGGAAGTATCGACCGACGCGCAAGGGAGGTGGATGCTACCACGTACTGTCTGAGTAATATATATATTGTGTACGGGGTATATTCATCGTACCATATTAGGAAACGCGAATTCCAAATAAGGAACGATTACTCACGTTAGCGTCCTCTAATAATAAAAACAACTTGAAACATGGCTGCCCCCAGGGTTTAACCTGACCCCACACAAAGGAGTTCGCTAGATCTGTTCTAAAGTTGGATTTCGGCATTCCCATGACGTATTCCTAAGACAATACGCGGTCGCATCGACCTCCGCTGCGCGTCGGTCGATACTTTCTGGACTGTTTTTTGTGCATACTTTGCAGTATCCTCGTAATTAGAGTCGTAATACTACCATGAAGTCACTTAGTTGGTTTAATATTGATATATAATCAGAACAATATGTATATGTATGTGTGAAATAAATTGTCGCTATTGCAAAAACCGATTGCTTTCCTCTGATTGTGTTTTTTTCAGCGATACTTGTGACGAAATACATTTATGTAATTTAAAATAGTTAATACAATAATACGACCCCTTACAACACCAAAACCGCTTTTCAAAAAAAAAAAGTAAAACAGACCTGGATTAGAAAATGTTTAGCCCGTATAAGCAACTTCAAAAACGAATTTTGTTTTACTGTACTGTACAGTGAAAGAACTAGGGGCACAAATGAGCAATTGCTGCACCAATCGATCTATGTTTTGGGGGTATATTAAGATTGTTTACTGATGACGCCCAGGCCATACATTTAAATTGCGTGTAATCATCGACACAGATAAATATCAACATGCGCACAATATTGTATCCATAGTAGTATCTTATGGAAAACATCAAAAGTTCAATGTAGGATAAAAAAAAACTTAATTCCTTTAGTTTTTTTCCCGAACTTCCCTCACCCCCACTGAAACCTAATTGATGAATATTGATCATGGCGTCAGGCTACATTCACCATTAAATACAAAATGATAACCGGACAGTGCACCCTAATTTGAACAATTTAATTGCTACGATAATAATTATTTTCCCAAAAATTAAAACAATACTTCTAAGCTCTTTGTATATAATGTTACTCCTATGATGTATATCATGATATTCCCATGATGCACCGCACTAATAATTATTAGCGGGGTTTATAGACTCATATATGTAATAATAATAATATTAGGTTATGACGAGGATACTGTATGCATGAAGAAAGAGTATCGACCTACACACAGCGGAGGTTGATGCAACGGCGTACTGTTTGAGTGCATACTTTAAGGTATGCTCGTCCTCGAAACCCATTCTTCGCTGCTTTGGTTGATATTGATGTTAGGTATTCACCGCTTGCAAGTGATGTTACCATAGGAAGTTTGATAACGCGGACTGATACATACAGAGAGTATTTGGGTGAGATTTCCACATTATTTTTGAATCATTTGAGTGATACTGTGATTGAGTTATTCAAAATTACTTTTAAAAAAAATAATTCGAAAATTTTGCCTACACTAGGCTATGGGTAAAACCTTCAAAGTCGCCGGTTGACAGTTTAAGTGTAATCCAGGACCGTGGTGTAATGTAAGGACACGTTGTTTATGGATTACATTCATATGCAAATGACATCAAATGACCGCCTGTAGACTACACGCCCCGTGAATACACCGCCGATGCACTACGAGTGACGTTGAAATTGAAATAACGACATCGATATCGCCCGAGAAGAGGTATGTTTTAATCTTGTGCCATAACTCATTTACGATCCGCTGTACGAGTGAGTCGTAATCGGAGTTAGTAATCTGTGTAGTTGTGTCACGGCCAGTGTTTTGACAAACCCGGAAGTAAAAGTTCATATTTCATAGGCCGCCATATTTGTGCTTCAGAACCCAGTATACACTGGTTCCATTAAGTGTAACTTAAACTAGAGACCACTTCTGGGGTATCGGTATAACCACATAGTTGGTGAAACAGTCACTTGTTTGTGATAGTAACAGTTTGATAGCGGGGGGGGGGGGGGGGCGCTCGGGTCGCCTGATCAAGGCGTTACCTCGCCCTACGTATTACCTCAGCCTATATATTAGTTCGGGGTATATCGATGTGTTGATGGGGGTGAACTAATGGACAGTGCCCCTACACACAACCCTACATAGTCACGGTAGTTTTGTATTCGATCGACACAAATATCGACCATGATTGCATGAATTGGAACACGACTGTTTCAGAAGCTTTCAAGACGATCGCTCTGAAATGCCTTGTTCGATTGTCACAATAGGTGTCATACAAATCGTTAAACATTGCTATTTAACGACACGTCTTCTTTAGAGCCCCTCACCCATAACTCTAATCCCATCCCTATCCCTACAATGCCCTTTCCCATGTTTTAGTTGTATACTAGTAAACTCCTCTTAGGGACACGTATAGTTATTTGGAGAGAATTATGCAATTACATTTAAGGAGTGTCAGGGTTAAGGGATGGGGGTCTTACAAAAACTATTTCCGGATTAACTGTCATATCATTTACCAGATGAGGTGGGGACTGTGTTCCATTAAATTTACAATAAACGTGATCACCCCAGCTGTCGTTTAAATTAGGCCAGCTGATGTGTTAGGCACATGTCTGCAATTTAATGTTAATATGCAATTAATATACTGGCGACTTGCATTAGCCAATTGCCAGGGCTACATTGTAACATGTGTATATTCAGCAACCAACCAACCAAACATCCAACTGAATCTATGTTGAGTTATTTATGACCACATCTGCCTGAATCAGATAATTGTAAATAAAAAGTTCGATTCGATATATAGTTGTATTGCATATACCTAATAAGTGATTTTCCATTCAACTGCGAGATCTCGCGAGACGCGCCGAACGTCAAAATTCGGCAATATTTGTCGAACATATCTAGTCATTTTGCACAATAAAGAGAATGCTACTCTGGTTTTAAAACAGTTCGAACCATAGTGAAAAAATACATGGTTTATTATGCGAAAACATCCATCTCATCATGGTAGAGTAGCCGCGATCAGATACACATGTTATACACAAGCTGAATTTAGTTCGTAATGTCACGTGTACTTATACAAACGATAGGATGCGTTTTCTGGGATATCCACATCGATTAGTGACTTTCCACAAGTTCGTATTCCATGTTTGGGATTATATGAGATGGCCACGTGACATATTCTAATAATAATGGGAATCTAACCATAGAACCAATTCTAGTTGAAAACGAGAATTTTTAACTAAGTTTAACCCAAAGTCGCGTCTGTGATTGAATGGAAGTCAACCAGTGGGTTTGATCTCCCAATTGAGTACGCGGCATACTCACCCAGTGCAAGAGCCTGTACACCTTTTCAGTTGTCTGGAAAGTTGAAACAATACCTAAGATGATAATTATTCTTTAATTAATCCGCCTAATTCCAGTGTTGCTACCAGGATGATCCCTGTGCTATGAAGAAACATAGCCATGAGTAACTCCGCTAGCGTAGATCCCCTAGACGCCCACATCGCAGTAGATGATGAACACCCATTGCTAAGGATAAAAGATGACAACAAGCGTGGTAGTGTATTTGTCCGTGTTATTATTATGTGTGGAGTCGCTCAGTTAATCATCGGTACTTCCCTTCTTATTGTTGGTATCCTCATCGCATCAAAATCGCTATACAGCAAGTTCTACAACGTGGGTACGCCTATTGCATGCGGGATCGTGGTAAGTGAGTTCATGCTACACGTTTATAGTGACAAGACGGAGGAACGTCGACCATGTCAATCCTTTCTATTCAAATTGACGTACTTTTTTTTTCTCTCTGTTGAATTACCTCAACTATGCTGCATATTGTGAAAGAACACCCTGTCAATGTAGCATATTCCTTATTTGCATTTTAATCGTCACAGCGCCTGTTCGATGTGATCATGATGAGATTGTCAAAATGATGATCCAATGAAATAAAAATATTCATTTCTCTATATCAAATTCAATTGAATCAAACCCGACGAATATAATATTAACACATTTTTTTCTAATAACCAGTTTGAAGTGACAGGCATCAGTGGATGGCTTGCCTCTTACAAGAAATCTAAATCAACGGTAAGATTAGTGAGATTCTTACTTATTGTGGTGATGAATTTTTAATCTATGTATACTAAGTATATACAACTTGTAATTGAAAGAAAAAAACGATGACAATATAAACAAATAGAACCTGTTTATTTCGAAAATTGAAATATATCAACAAATATATGTGATATATACAACAGCTGTGTCATATTTACATACATTTACATACATTGCTCCGACTATTTCAAAGAGTGAGTCCAGACTAATCCAATTCTACCTTTGCACTGCATTCTACTGCATTCCGTACGAACATGTGATATACATATATTCATTATTTCTTTCAGATTAGAACGTGCATGGTGCTGTCTTTCATCTCAATACTGTTGAGCTACGTGTTATGTGTTATATCGTTTATCGCATTATCCCGCAATGACGTGAGTTTAGGTTTTGTTATTTTTAAAGTTGAGGATCTGCTACTCTGCGCCTGTTTGCGTGCTAATCTGCTTCGATTTTTTTAGCAGATTAAATGTTTTTGTTTGATAATTTATCTTGCATAAACAGACGCCTCTTTAAAAAATATTTTTAAATATGTTACACTATAAATATTACGTTGTTGACTTCACAGCAGTTTATCAAGAACAATGTAGTATGAAAACATTTGCAGTTTCATATTATGCGTATAACAGTTTAGCCGTTAAAACATGGTTTATGTAATTTTTGTCTTGTGATTTATTCGCTCTGTTTACATACACTCTGCAATGTGGAAAGTGACAATATATACATAAACAATTGAACTAAACGTGTGGGGACTCCCGATACAAATTCATAAATTTAAACTAAACTAATTTTTATTATTTTTTCATCATATCATTCATTTTTAAGTAATGTGAATAAATTGAGTGGCACCATCCTTAATAATAATAATCTGCCACAACGCATCATTTCACAATTTCCCTTCTTCAGTTGGAAAATTTATGATCATATCAATATAACATAGCGATTTGAGGGAATTGTCGTTTCCATAGCTATATTCAAATGTTCGGTAAGAAGACATGTGTAATATACATGTTTTCAATTTCCTACAGCAATATGATCACGATTATTTAACAATTTGTAATAAATAACGTAGTAGGAACTTCAAAGTTTAGTAATGCCTGATTGACATTTACAATAGACAGAAGTAAAGTTATTAATCGTACGCTGATATCATATGAGCTTTTGAGAAATTATATAAACCACTCTCTTATAATGAAATGATAGCAACGACGAAAGTGAGGTCCACTTCAAAATAACCGAAGTACAATGAAAGCCTTTCCGTAAATAGTAGACTGACGTCGTGGGAGTTACGCCCTCCGCGATGCCCCAAACCCAGCACAGTAGGTTCTGCCCGCGAGGGCGCCACTCACGCCTACATGTCAGGCTACTTAAATAGATGTTCAACGTTTTTAGGAATCAAGTCCCGACAGTACTAATGTTTATTGTTGAGTTTTCTTATGCGATTTCCAAGCTTCCCGTAAATCCGCTATGTACATGGTTAGTAATGGGTGATTTTCCGTACAATTGCGAGATCTCGCGAGATGCATGAAAGACGCGCGTCGAACGTCTGCCTCAAAAATCGAACGATTTGATTTTGAACTAAAATTTCTTTATTTCGCAGCTTACATTGACCGGCCGATCTTCGACAGAGGAATACTGCTTCCGAATACCCTCACTTAATCGAAATTGCCTATCATCAAATGTGGACAGCACATTATTAAGCATGGAAATGTCCCCGAAATACTTTCGCGTTTGTCGAATCCCACGCGATGTTTGACGCGACTACGACGCTATGACCTTTATTTGTCCTGTTTTTACGTTCGATTTCACGCATAACGCGTGATTCTCGCAGTGAACGGAAAATGGTCTATTAAAAAGCTATAGCCTAAACATATGACAAATGGAAGGATGGCATCGATTATATCAGTCTTGGTCATATGACCCAGTCGTTGTTTTTCCCCATAAGCCCATGCTTGTATCAGGGGTAAAATCTTCTACTCTCGGGTTCTCCACACGTGTCAGGGGGAAATCTCGTCTCGTCTCTCTATCTCGTCCCCTTGAGGTACGGGATCGGGAAAGTCACTTATACTTTACAGTCAAATAAGACACACACAACGAAATACGTTTCAGCTCTCGTCTTAGTCGGTCAATCGAGCACTCTATAAGACACAGCGCCCTGGGGAAAAATCCCCAAGACTATCACAAGGCTGACCCAAGACTCTTTTAGACTGCGTCAAGGCTCGCCCCAAGTCTCTCCCGGACTGCTTTAGACTGCGTCTATCGTGATGTACTCCCCAAGACCAACTCAAACTCTCTTTATTCATTTTCAAAACTCTAACCAATTACAATGCAGTAAAAAGACTCTAGGGCGTAACCTTCAATCATAAAGCCAATCACACTAAGCACTGAATACGTCATATCTTTTGATTAATCGTTCACTACATTAATAACTACGGATACCAACTGTCAGAATCGCGACGGTTATCTGGTAATTAGTTCCAAATCACTGAGCCAAGTTCCGTCCAAAACTTCAAATAGGCCTAAACGATGACAGACATAACACAGCAATTCGCTAATAATCAGCTAATTAAGTCGGTCAACAGATACGCAAAAACAAATTCATGACACTTGCCTCTATGTGGCTAAGATGGCCGAAAGCCAGGGGTTGGAACCCACACGGTCCGCCACGGTAGACAAATATTATACCCCCAACTTTGCTGTTCATTGTTGTAAACTCACTCCAAAACACACATACTAAAAATCGTTTGTTTAAACCTTAATCATCAAATTTCACGACAGCATTATGTCGATCGATTTTTAATGTGAACTGCCATTATCGTGAGCCAACAAGAACTTTGTGAGCGCGCAATTTATTAGTATGTGATTTTTGTCCGCTCTAACAAAAATGTTACTCTTATTAATTTGTTTGTTTTCATCTAGCCCAAGGAAAGCACCATAAATGGATTCGTAGTCACGGCCTGCGTATTGGAATTTATAATATCGATAATATCATACGTATTCTGTCGACGAGCGATGTCATAATCGACGAAGTGGAGATCGCTTACAAAATGCGTACACATATCACCAGATGATTTGTGGCTTCCCCTGCGCCCACGGTCATATATTCTTTCAGTTTATATAATAGAATGGTATTATATAATTGTTTCCGCGTATTACCGCTATTTTGTATTTACATCCATAAGTTTTGCTGTCAGTTTCAAGTTGTTTGGCAGTCACGGGTAGTGGCTAGTAGTTTTGGTGCATCTAATTTAAAATTAAAATTGCAAAGAGTTATGGGTAATTTTCGGGACTAAGATGCACGAGCAATAGCAAAAACTTTCGATTGGCTTCACAAATACCATGAATTTTTTTTGCAATAGAACAGTTTAGCTGAAAGTGCCATTTTCTTTAAAAAGACTATTAAAGGATGGCGAAATATATAGATTATCTTTATCTTTTCCATATTTGGTCTTACCAAAATAACCAATCATTGTTATCCTGTGAATGTGTTGTCTCATAAGATATGAACGGGTGCATGTATTAACCAAGAAATATTTTTGTACTTGAATTATTTTGAAATATACTTTTTTTTTTACCTTATATAACATGCTTGTGTCTGAATTTATTTTGGTGTCGTGAAAACTATTTTGAATATTGCATTTGTTAAATACGAATTTGACCATAGAGCAAGGAACAGCCAGTGGCGGATCTGTACAGTTACGAAATCTTAAGTAGCTCACAAAAGTAGACATTGTATAAAACGCAGCGGCTCTTGTTAAATTTTGTGACAAATTTAGTATCATGATAGAAATCGCTTATATACTAATAACCGCAAAAGACGGGGGGGGGGGGGGTTGGCTCATAGCCGAAAATATTGCTTGCGGCGTTTCGCAATGCATGTTTTTTATTAATAATTAAAAGTAAACCTTAAACTAATATTCATGATATGTCAACTTCATAACTTCATCGTGCACGCAGTGTGTAGCTTCAGGTCGTTCTTGTGTATTCCACAACGCATGCGTGACTGTGCCGTAGTATAGTTGGTACAAAGTGTTCGTCGATCTGTGAAGGGTAATGTAACGTATCCACTGTAAACTGTGGACCACATTCCCAGTGTTGTTGCAATGGACACATTTTTGTTAAGTCTCTGGTTCTACATCTCCACACACTTCCACTTAGAGCTAGCAGCAAGAAAATAAAAGAAAAACACAAACAAAAACAGCGAGTATTTAATCTTTATACAGTATAGCCCCACACACTTCGTGACGGGTATGGTATCAACTATCACCTAAGTGAAACATATGGATGGATTAGTCACACTTGACAACTAAGCAACATAACATGAACCATGGCGTTGTTTGAGTTGGAATCCGGCGACTACTATAACACGATACAGTATGGCATGAGTAGTCACGTAACATACAATTTTCGTTTTCTTTTGAACTGTATGGTATGGTATTTTCCATAATATTTTGGACGTGATCAGTTATGCTAACATGCAGGAAATATAGCGTGGTAATAATAATACATTGCTGACAACATGATCGATAATTCAACAATTATTGGCAGTGATTCAATCTAGTCCAGGGGATTATTGCCAAAACAGCAATACAATAAACCGGGATATACCTATAGCTAAAAATAGGTGTAATGCGAGCCGAAATTAATATTCAAGTTATTCTAATTCATTATGACTATATATTCGATTACTATACAAAGTATCGGCAAGTATTCTGTCGTTGGCAAAAATATGAGCGTGATTATGCCCTGTTAAAATGCTAATCAACACAAGTAATACGCACTATGCTAATACTAATGAGCACTAAACATTTCTTTGACTATGTTAATGTCATTTGTATTTGACGCACGACTTGCGATTTTGGAATTATCTAATGTGACACAACATGCGATCTTCCTCGCATGTAACACATTTATACCTTTATAGCCAAAAAATACATTTATAACATAGTGTTTTAGTAATTATTTCATTAAATAATGACTGTCGCGTGTTTGAGATAACGAAATCGTCAGGATTATTGAATTCACATGGTGGCTAACCGGCTTGAGAATGCCCTTCATGAAGTGGGTTTCAGAAACGCGTTTATATTGTACCACTGAATTATGAAAACAATAGCGTGTACACATATAGCAAGGGAAGTCAGAGTCTTTCCTGACGGTCCTTCATTCCGTATACAAATGAGATGTTTCCTTACATATTATGTGATTTGTCAGGATTGTACATGAGGTACTTTCAGACTGAGATAATGCATTCATGTGGCAAGGTGAAAGGTGGGATTGAAGGTCAATCCGTTTACCAATGATCCCCTTTTAGTAGATTTTTTGTTCGTGTCGTCCTGTTCAAACTAGCATGTGTTCAAAACTCCGTGTCACCTGTAATAAATGCCTGGACCGTGTCTGTATACATTTGCGCATTTATTTGTAATTCATGAGTCGAACTTTGAACGGAATAGTTCAAATTAACACAGCCATAACGATACGTCATTACAGCCTTATTGCCATGCGCAGTGCCAATGAAGGTAACGATACGAGCTCAGTCATCCAGCCAGTTGGCCAGTCTGTCAGTGTTTACTTTATATCTCGCGAACCAAGAAGTGTTTCGGCATTACTAGTACATCGTAATCAACACTCAGAATGTAAGTATTGAGTTGAGTTACAGTATTATGATGTCGTGCACATTGCGCCTGTTACCCGGAAGTAACGATGGCGTGTTTCATTCAACTTGGTTGGCCATACATGTGCAAAAGTACATTCATTGGAATGACCAATCTTAAACAAAAAAAAAACATGAATAAAAGTAAACAAAAATTGCGGTTCGATAATGTGGAATTGTTAATTCTCAATAATACGCTATTGTTCACTTTTCATTGGTATCTGTGACGTCATTGAGTTATATGGTTCTTATAAACATACTGTCACCCACTTCATGTCACGGTAGTTGAACGCTAAGAATTCAATTGGCTGTGGGCAAACTATACAAACAAATCAGTCCCAGTTTTACAGGTTTTAACTAATCTGCTTGTCAGGCATTTGCTACCTGGTCCCCCGCTTCTATCTGATATTTGCTCTGCTGTTGAACTTGTTGCATAATACCTCGCCCATTCGTAGATCATTTTACTTCATTTTTTCCCTATGTTCTATGAGGATTTATAACCACATAAACTAATTATAGACAATAATATTCACATTTCGAAATTCCCAAGACATTTTATCAGATTCTGGATCCACGTTTCTTAAAATTAACCGTATATAACCTTCAAACATTCATAGTCCCACGTTTCCACGTTTTTCAGGTTACTAAAAATGTTTGTGTAATAATCTCAAACATTTTACCAAAATAAGGACCTGGAAAATTATGTTTGGTTGAAAATCACTCAAATGGTAATCACAAGTGTTTTTTTATTGACGATGACATGTGAATGAATGATATTCATTTTACAATTTTCAGTTTACTTTCGTAAATAATAATATGATATAATATAAATTTATTTAGTACAATGGCCTCATGCCTATGATAAAATAAATCAAAAATAGAAAAATACATAATACGAGAGTCCTTTAAATAATTGTTGAATCTACAAGTCACAACTTGTTAAGTAGATTTAGAAATTTGAAGTACAGATAAGTTGTCAAACAGTTGTCAAACTTGTCATAAGTCTGATTTGACTGATAACATATAGGTAAATATTTTATTCTAAGATTTTCATAACGTGGACATACAAGGCAAAATGGTATTCAACCCCAACCAACCCTAAATTACATAATTTACAGGTTCTCATATTCCTCGGTATGTTCAATGTACGGTCAGATTCAACCCAAAGGTTGTGGAATGATGTTCTCAGCCGGCATAGCGCAGAACGTAACTTGTTATGTTTAATAGTTTCCACATTCAAAATCGATCTTAAAATCTCTGTACTTATTGAATTTGGAATAGTTGTTGAGACCTGTAAACCATGAACTGTTTTGGTGAATAGATGCACAAAGGAACAATTATCTTCTACGCCTTGGTTTGGACAAAACCAAAACCGTACGAAAATAGCAGTTTTTTGATTTGGAAAGCCCAACATTTACGGTTGTTTTCCGCTTCTTTATACTGGAAAACGTAACATTGGTAAATATAACGCTGTGTTTGCACTTTTAAATTTTCGACCAAAATTAAACAATATGTATGTATCTAACGCAAATGGATTAGAGGTAGTCTACACATCTCTCCACAAATCACATGTTTTGCTGTGGTTTTAAGCAAATTTAAAATAAATTTCCCAAACTTGGGATGTGTTTCTTCAACATTTACCCCTTTGTCAAAACCCTAAACCTCACTGCCGTACATCGATATTGGTACAATTTTATAATACAAAATCATTAAACAAATTTGTACATCAATAACACTGTGTGATTTGGATAGTTTCTTTTTTAAAGCAAATATTGCGTTACTCGCCAGCTCGACAATCAACTATTACTCGAAAAATCTAAATGATATATTTATAGTATTAATACATTAATCACATAAATAAATAATTGCAAGAAATAAAACTCCCCGAAAACGGCAGAATAGAGAGATTCATTCCGCAATCAAGAATGTTTCCCAAGTATTCTGAATTATTTTCCTTCACGAAATGAAGCAAGAGAAGACACTTTCATTATCATTTCGAAGTCAAATTGTATCTCGCATTTTTTTCAGAAGTTGTGTTTATTTTGAATTTTAAAAGTTCGTAATGAGATGGCCGATGCACCACCCACCTACAATGACGCAGTGCACCAAGGGCGCCCTCTTTTAAATCGGAGAGAAAATGATGACATGCGTGGGTCACAGTTTGTTAGCAGTTTAGTCACGTTGGGCGTGACGCAGATTGTATTTGGGGAGGCGCTTCTAATCATGGGAATGTCCGCTATCATCGTCAAAAGTTCCTTGTATCACATCGGAACGCCAATATGGTGTGGTGCCGTGGTAAGTAGCAAATCATCAAGTTTAACTTGCTATAGTATTGTGAATATATTTGATTACGTAATGATGTGGCACAGGAGGTGTTGATTGAAAACTTTAAAATTGTTAGGGTCGGCAGTATTTATGCTACATGATTGAATATCCTCTCTCGTGTTTTAGTTAGCGGTGTAGGTTCAAACAACATTTTCTCTTAACGTCACACGTTTATATATTGTCCGCCGTTGTTAGTATGCTT